AAAAAATCCCAAAATTTACTTAATAAAATTCTAAAAAAAAAATGAAAATCTAAAACTACATTTTACTTGATAATCAAATAATGGGCCTATATGGCTATATCCGAATTAAGTCATTAACTCATACTCCGAAGTAGGTACTTGCACTTTTAATTTCAAGATTGTAGTTGTTTGACTTATTTCTCATTTTAAATTAATGACTTATTGACTACATTTATATTTCGAGATATACTAGTGTATATGAGAAATATTATGAATTTATTACTAAGTATCTTGAAAAAGGAAAATGCTTCAATGCAATGAATGGGTAGACATTCACTAGTAAAAAAATGGCTTATAGTGACATTAAATTAGTGTCACTAAACGATTTGGTGACACTCTGAAAGTGTCACAGACAATGGGGGCAAGTGACACAAAATTTAGTGTCACTGGTTGCTAAACAGATTAGTGTCGCAAAAATATGACAATAAAATATCACCTAAAATTATGACGTTATAATATCATAACTTTTTTGACACTTTGGTATCATAAAGATATATGATACATTAGTATCATAAGTATATATATATTTCAATATAAATATATATATATATTATATACATGTAATATAATTTAATACTAATAAATAACCAAAATTCAAAGATTTTTATTTATATCTCAATTTCTCACATAAATGTGAATGTACATACTACATAATTCATGGGGGCACACCCGGAAACAACAACTAATATACAAGAACATAACGCTAATATGTCTAACTTTTACACCACACTTCCTAGGGCCTTCACATATCTTCTTTTGTAGACTTGCACAGAATGAAACCAGTTCTTATGCTACGAACTTCATCATTTGAAACCTCATTTGCTTCTATCATACTTCACCTGCAAAGTGGACATTACAGTAATTACACACTACTTCAACTTAGTACATCTTTCCTATAAATAAGTAAAATTTCAACTCTAAACTACAAAATAAAACAACTAAGCTAAGAATGGCCATTCTTAGCTTAGTTGTTTTATTTTGTAGTTTAGAGTTGAAATTTTACTTACAACGCAGATATTACTAAACTAGGGTGATCTATATAAACTCCAAATTTTACAAATAAGGTTTAATGATACAAATATTATACACTAGGGTGATCTATTGTTAGAACGCAGATATTACTAAACTTTAAGCATAATATACGATCAGCAATACGTACTAAATAAGACAACAAGATGCAAACAAACAACAACAATTTGTTAGAGTTAGCAAAATTGGAACCAAGATCAATCATTAACAGTTATGAAAATCAAAAGCAATGGTAGTGAGAGATGAGCAACTCTCACTATAGTATTCCTAAGATGGAAAAAGCTTAAGGAAATATATACTTACTAGAAGTGCTCCTCATTCTCATATTGAACTATAAAAGAAAACAAAAGATGCTTACTAGTTTTTTTCATGTCAGCGTTCAGAGAAGGGATAATGCCTGTGCTCATTAAAGGTATCATTACTCTATTGACTGTGAATAACCATTTCTATAAAGACCATTTTCCAATTTCTCATCATTCAAGTAGTAGCTTTACCCATTTTTACATCACTTTTCCACCTATAAAGACCAAACATAACAAGAAGGTCAACTAAATTATTTCTTGACAGATCAATAATAATTTTAAATCTCTTGAATAACATATTGGCATCTTACCCAAAAGCAGTGGCAGGCGCGCAGTCACGTAAATTACAAATAAATGATTTAGTTTATTAGTTAGTAATAAACCTGTCCTGAATCAAAAGAAATGAATATGAATCAAAAGAAATGAATATGCATGCTACACAATGAAACTCTTTCACATTTGTACTTATGAGAAAGGTAAAATTAGGGAAATCATATCTTCATCATCGAAAACAACATTTCATTATAACTTATAAGGCACCCCTGTTATTTGGTCTATTAAAAAATCAAGCTAAGATTAAGGAGATGATAATCCTAAGTTATCAAAAAAAAAAATGCTAAATCTCACCTGGGCTACAAACATTGACTTGATAACCTTGATTTGAAGCTTTTCCAGGAAAGTGTTGGCTATGTCTGGAGTGGGTGATCTTGAAGCAATATAACAACTCTTTTCTCCTTCAGAGCATATAATATGCCTTTTGCTTGAGGATACATAGCAGGCATTTAAAAGAAGAAATTACATCATTTAAATGAAATAGAAGCATAAACAAAAGATTCACAATGCACTAAGCAAGGAATGTCTAGCCTGTAATTCTTTTTTCTAGGAGCAAATGTCAACATTTTCTCAAGTCTCAACATGATTGATAGCCCAACTGTCCAATATTCTAAGTTAACTCTCCTATTAGCTCGAATTTCAACTGTAAGCATTTCAATAAAAGTATAACAATTAACAAGCATATAAGTACATAAGTACATGTAATACTATGATTAGGATTATTGCCATTGCTCTTAAAACTCCATCCTCAATCATTAGTTTATTTGTAGATGATTAACTGATAACAAATTAATAACTCTTAGTCCTAATAAATCAACAATTAACTAAACTAAATATTCACATTTTCTAATGTAAATGATTAAATTAGATTAACTTGATAATAAAAGATCAAGAAATACGTATTAGATAAAATATAAATATTCAAATATTAGAATAGTTAGATTATCCAAGATTGAAGAGAGGGCTAACCATTCTGCAAATGACCTCTTTTCTTGCAGTGAATTCTAATTTCAATCTGTAAGAGAAATACAAAGATTTGCCAAATAGTACCATACATAATAGAACTCTAATCCAGTCCAGAGTTAAGTATTACAGAGTATTAGTTAATTACCAGCATGACCAATAACTTGAATTTTTGTCTAAGCCATGCTTTGGGAAACCAGTTTACTGCTGCCTCTTGGAATTTTATGCTTGGTGAAAAAAAGGCTAGCAAATAAATAGGATTTCAAATAATAAAATAGTTTACAACGTGATGAAAATATGAAAAAGTGACAGATTCATTCAGAGCATTCTTAATACAAACTTAATACAGTATACTTTGTACTTGTTTTACTACTATCATCTATAGAGCATTCGTAATAGTTTACATAGAATAGAAATACACATGTATAGTCATCATATCGGGGGCAATAGCAAGTCAGAGTTTACCTCACAGTTGTTCTGCACTCTACAGTTAGCACAAAATTAAAAATTCCCTCTATCAAAGTATGTAGCTGTATTTATGCAGAGAGGATTATATGACATGATAAAAGAAAACATAGAGCTCTAAATGATTAAGATAATAAAAATTTAAAGCTGAATCCGTAAAATGTGAAACAACTTAATTATACATAATTCTAAGTTAATCATAATTGTGTAACATTGTACAAGATTAAGATTAGGTCTCACAACATTTGCCTCCCCCTCACCCCTTCTTCTGCAGGTGTCTCAACATGATCTTCCTCACTTCATAACCCAATATTCTGTAGAATATCAAATTAGAGTCAATGGATTATAGGTAGGTATTAGTTCTATTTTTAAGATATTTTAACTCATTCGACAATTTCAAACACTATTTCAACAAACCCCTTTAGCAAAAAATGTCCAATTTATAGTTGCAGACAATTAGTAATCAAGTTTAATAGACACAAAAGCAATTAATTCTACAAGTACATAAATGTAAATAGAGGCATACATGATACTATCCAACAAAAAGTTGGGGACTACAGCAAATCTGAAAATTGAGTAATTTTCAAAGATTTTTGGGAGAAAGTAGTCAAAACTTCTATTGTAAATGCCTGACCTAACTGTGCTAAACCTCGTAGTGTAGATGTATTCCTTCCAGCTAAAGAAAATACTCCAGAAACCGGGGTGACTCTAAGTTTAAAGAGGCCTTCTTTTCACCAGCATGAAACCGATTGAATTTGGTCGACATAATAGATAAGAGTGGATTTCATTCACATTAACAGGAAAGATTGAAACAGAAGATACGATGCTCGAAAATCATTACCGGAAAAGAATCTAAAAGCTCAAATACATTACCGGCAATCATTCGTAAGATACAAGTGACGAGGCATTTAGATGAGCAGTTACACCAACTTTGAGATTGAATCAGACTTCCTTCAATATCACTTCTACGCTCCCCAGCCGAGCCAAAAGCCTTCGTCCTTCGAAAAAAATCTGGTGCTACAGATCCGGCACATGACCTCCACAGAACGACTCTCTCTGCTATTGGGAGGCTGGCGGTGACTTGCGACGCTGTGCCGGGGGTGGAGGAGCGAGGGCTAGCGCGATAGTCGTGCTTGGGTTTCTCTTCCGTTTCCGGTCTGAAGGGCTAGGGCGACAGTCGGATCGGGCGTTTCTCTTTCCTTGAGAACAATCGATAAGGGTTGAGAACAGACATGGAATTATACGAAGTATTTCTTTATTTAGAATAATGACCCCGAGCTAGATATAATTTTTCAAAAATTATAAATATGACCCCGTTTCAACTTTGATATAGGCTAAAATAATAAATATTTTGTGTACGAGTGTCACTATGCTATACCGATATTTTTATATCAGAAAATAATGACACTTATATGTAAAATAGAAGATATGTCATATATTAGTGACACTGAATCCAAAAGTGTCACTAATAAAGTGTCACTATAAGACATTTTTCTACTAGTGATTATAGGATATTATATGTATATATATATATTCAAAAAAAATCTATTTTTAATATTTATAAATAGATCCCTATAACTTTTAATATTTGTAAATACACCCCCATAACTTTTAATATTTATAAATATGACCCCGTATCCGTATCCTACTTTTTTTGGTTTTGACGTATCCCCGTACCCGTTTCCGCGTACCGGTATCGGTGCTACATAGGGTACAGGTTAGAAAAGTGAGCCAGCAATTTTCAGCGGTCCCACGCACTGCCATCAGAGATGTCATAGTAGAACCAATGGTCTCGATCCAAACGACCACCCAATTTAACTTCGATTTCACCGGAATATATCTTCGTGGCTGGCACAGAGTTTTCTCATTCCTGTTTAAAGTTTAAACGCTCACATAAGGATCGCCCAAGACAATATATTGTACAAAGGAAGGGTGATAACAGATCAAAGGACACCCAACACCCGACAATATATGAAACCTGAAAGGTGCGCCGCGATCATCACTTTCAACATTGAACTTTCTCGCTCATTTTTGATAAATAATGTTTGCCAGTTTGATAGATTGAGGATATTTGTGGCAAACAGTTGATTGATCCTGTATGGATTCTCGTGGTTGGATCATTATTTGTCCTGTTTGCACATGAAATGATTTGATTATGCAGCATTTGAATATTGGTCTGTGGATCTCCTGATGAGTATTTGTAAAATGAATGATACAATGGTTGCTTATGTGGTCTGCATTCATTGAACCTATCATCATTTCCGTTATTAAAATGTGCCTGCTCTTATCTGGATTCTGGTCGGAGCTTAGTTTTTGGTCATTTCTTCAATAGTTTGCTATTTGAATTCTTTAAAAGTCAGTTTCTTGGTTGGTTAAGTTTTTTCTTCATGGAACTGGAAATGAAATTATATGGTTTGAACTATGCAGACAATGCGTCATAATTGCTTTAAGATTGAGCTTTTAGAATCGAATCATATAAATACCATAAAAGAGTCGAACTCTGAAACTCATAGGAGGATTTTCCCAATGCTTCATATGTTTGTTTATTAGAGGATTTACCCAATGCTTCATATCTTTTTTATATAATCGTCTGACCTAGGATGGCTTAACATATATGAATATCACATCAGTTACTCATTCAAATTTTGAATATAATAATAACATCTTAAATATAAAATTGTTGGCTAAGCATCTTAAATATAATGTTGTTGATTAAAACTTCAGAGGCATTAGGAGATGGCAGACGGTGAGGATATTCAGCCCCTTGTCTGTGATAATGGGACAAGAATGGTTAAGGTAAGCATCTTCATATCCACTATAATAATGAAAATCCATTCAGACTTCTTGTATGATGTTATGGGATTTAATGGTTTGAACTCCTATTTGCTTTGTCTTGAATGATTTGCCAGGCTGGATTTGCCGGAGATGATGCTCCCAGAGTTGTATTCCCAAGCATCGTTGGACGACCTCGTCACAACGAAGTGATGGTGGGTATGGGTCAGAAGGATGCATATGTTGGTGATGAGGCCCAATCAAAGAGAGGTATTTTGACTCTCAAGTACCCCATTGAACATGGAATTGTTAGCAACTGGGATGACATGGAAAAAATATGGCATCATACCTTCTACAATGAACTGCGTGTGGTTCCAGAAGAGCACCCAGTGCTCCTGACAGAAGCTCCTCTTAATCCTAAGGCTAATAGTGAGAAGATGACGCATATCATGTTTGAGACCTTTAACACCCCTCCCATGTATGTCGCTATTCAGGCAGTTCTTTCCCTTTATGCAGTGGGCGTACAACAGGTAAAAATTACGGAGTAATTCTTAGTTTTACTGCTGCTGTGATTTGGTGGCATCTTATTATGCTCATTTTCCTTGCCCATTTTTACCAAATACTTACTTATTTAACTGAGTCAGTTGAGGATAAAAACACAGGTGTTGAAGTTACTTTTGGGTAGAATTTTTTGAATTGAATTTTTATTCAATTCAAAAACTTTCATTAGAGATACAAAAGATTATTCAAAAGATTATTTGTTATAGATTATTCATCAAAAGATTATTTTTGATGATACAAAAGATTATTTTCTTTAATATTGAAAATAATAATTTGTTATAGATAATTCATCAAGTTCACCTAATTCAATCTTTTTAAGCACAATTCATCCAAATTTAGTCACTTTTGCCATCTAAGCCTAATTTATTCTTATCAAACACGATGCAAAAAAACTGTCAATTTGGCTATCTATGTAAAAATGACATCAATTTCTACCTACATTTTTATATATTCTTTCCTTTAACCTATACAGAAAACATATTTCAGCTTTTTTTCCCAATAATTATGTAAGTTCAGCCATATGAAGGACAATTTCTGCAAAATTGAGTTACTAAGCCATTTAAGCCGCACTTAAGCTTACCAAATGTGCACAATTAGCTCTCTAATTGCTGCGGGAAGGCTGCACAAGTGCACTACGTTCTCTTACTTGTAATAAGAAGGTGGTAGGAAGAGTATTATTGTTCCTCAATAATAATTAAGGAGCGCATGTATATACAAATATAGAAGCTGTTTGATCTTTAATTATAATTAACACAATTGGGTTTGACCTTTTTGTCAGGAATTGTTCTGGACTCTGGAGATGGAGTCAGCCACACAGTTCCTATCTATGAAGGCTATGCCCTTCCCCATGCAATCCTACGTCTTGATTTGGCCGGACGTGACCTCACCGACCACCTGATGAAGATTCTAACAGAGAGATGCTACACTTTCACAACTACTGCAGAGCGTGAAATTGTGAGGGATGTGAAGGAGAAGCTAGCCTACATTGCTCTTGACTATGAGCAGGAACTAGAAACATCAAAAACCAGTTCGGGTATTGAAAAGTCATATGAGCTGCGCGATGGGCAGGTGATCACCATCGGTAATGAGAGGTTCCGTTGTCCGGAGGTTCTGTTCCAGCCATCCATGATTGGGATGGAAGCTGTTGGCATTCATGAACCCACCTACAATTCCATCATGAAGTGTGATATAGATATTAGAAAGGATCATGAAGTGGGACCACTATGTTCCCAGGCATCGCTGACCGGATGAGCAAGGAGATCAATGCATTGGCTCCAAGTAGCATGAAGATCAAGGTGGTTGCTCCACCTGAGAGGAAGTACAGCGTGTGGATTGGAGGATCCATTTTGGCCTCTCTAAGTACATTCCAACAGGTATGTACACCCTTTACCTTTGTTTACTTCTATGTTCTATTACATTGAGTCTAACTGATCCCAGAAAGATCTTAGAAGTGAGATTTGCCTCACACCTATATATTACATTCACTCTTAACATTTTCATTTTATTTCCAACATTCTAGGTTACTTGTTTAGTACTTCAGTTTGCCTGTGTACCCGGAATAAAAAGAAATTACCCTTTTACATGCATTTTTAAATATTTCCTTTATAGTTTCTTTTATGAATATATATAGATATTTTTTAACCATTCCATCCAAATTTACCGACCACAGGTTCATCTTGATAGCATAATGCATTATGGTTGCCTTGTAAGTTGTAAAAAAATAGGCCGCTTTAATAATCTATGTTATTTTTTTCTCCTTGATTGCAGATGTGGATCGCAAAGGCAGAGTATGATGAGTCAGGGCCCTCTATTGTTCACAGAAAATGCTTCTAAATAGTAAATACCCATACCCCCCGCCCCTCTTGTTTTTCTCCCTGTTTTTTTATTTAAAGTATTTATCCTAAATGAGACTAAAACATTGTATAAACTCCACAATAGGACTTTAAGTTTATTATTCTCTAAATAGGACTAAAGTTTACCCTTTTGCCCCTGAATCAATTAAGCCTACAAGTCTACCCCTGCAATTCATCACACCAGTACTCCCGTCGCCGGCTCTGCAATTCATCGCAGCACATCTCCGCCTCCCATGGACTACTGCTCCATGGCCTCGCGTCACTGTTCCTTCGTCCTGCACTCATCTGCAACCAGGTAAGTCTTCCTCTTCCTCTTCCTCTTCCTCTTCCTCTTCCTCTTCCTCTTCCTCCTCCTCCTCCTCCTCCTCCTCCTCCTCCTCCTCCTCTTCTTCCTAATCCTCCTCAAATTTCTGGCCCTCTATTCTCTTCTTCTTTGGATTTCATGCAATTGAATTTTACTTATTAATTTGAATTTTTTGGATTTGATTGTATTTATTCAGTAAAATGTCACTGGTATAATATGAGAATGTCAAAATTATTGGTTATTTGAAGAAAAAAATGTCACGTTTGTGACATTGTATTTATTAGGATGTCAATCTGAAAACGTCACTTTTCTTTCGAAAATGTCATGAAAGTGACAAAGTATCTTCCCTCCAGTGACTCTGTGCAAACCTCCATGAGGAATGCCACCTGATATGCGAGAATGCCATAAAATGCTATAAGAATGACATTTCCTTATGGACATATGACATTTTCAGACATTTTTAGATTGACATCCTGATAAATATACTGCCAAAAACGTGACATTTTTTCTTCAAATAACCAATAATTTTGACATTCTCATATAATAAAAGTGGCTTTTTTGAAAATAATCAAAATTAATAGATTAATCTAGAATCTTAAAAGTTCACAAATTAGAAGAAAATAGAAAACCAGAAAAAAGAGGCCCAGGAAGAAGAACAAGAGAAAGAAGATGAGGAGGAGGAGGAGAAAGAAGGAAGAAGAAGAAGAAGAAGAAGAAGAAGAAGAAGAAGAATGAGAAGGAGATTACCTGGAAAATTGCAGAAGGAGAGATGCCCTGCTATGGAAGTTTTCCAGCGTGAACAGAGCATTGCGGCCATGGAGGTTCCAGCATGGGTGATGAGTGCAGCTATGGAGATTGCAGCGTGGGTGATGAGTGCAGCTATGGAGATTGAATTTTGCCAGTCCATGGGAGGATGGATCCCAGCGCTGGTGTCGTGCGTCACAATGGAGGATGTCGTGTGTCGCTGGTGTGCATCGGTTATTTAATTAAGGGTAGTTTTGTCAGATTACCTATCTTTAGTCCTATTTTTGTTAAATAAAACATAGTAGTCCTATTTTTGCAATTCTACCTTGTTTTAGTCTTATTTAGTTAAATCTCTCTTTTATTTACTTCTATGCATTTTTTTTTGGTGATTTGATAAGTGGACATAGAAACAAGTCATCCAAAGTGTTTATTGTAATTTATTTTTCATCTTTGTACAAGTCTACACGTGTTGTGTTCCTTTAGATGTTAATGTTATCTCGAAAAAGGCTTTTTTGACTCACATAGTGGAGTATTATGACTGATGTGTACCTACGGAGTAAATTATGAGTATAATATGGAAAATTATACCGTGCAACCGGCATACCATGCGCATGGCATGTCGGTTCTAATACGGTGCAGTTTTTAATAGCAAACCCAACATGTAGCGGCATAGTGCACACTCACACTTCCACTGCCTCGTTTCTTTCTTTTTTTCTTCTTTCTCGTTAATTACTTTTGATTTTCTTTATCAAAAGCCATAATGCTCTTTATTATCTCATCTATACTGGGCACACACCACTAATTGTTCCACCAACATTATCAAAAGCAATCATGTTTCCATTTTTTTAATTTAGGAACAATGATGCGTACCCTACGTATTACAATTTTGAGATTAAATTTTCATCCTTTCAAAAGAAATTAATTATGTTTATTTTTGTGTTAGTCCTTATATTATTCATATACTTTTTTTTTCTTTTTAGCTTCAACTTAAATTACAATAAAAAAATTAAATTATTTTTTCTTCAAAATAAATAATTTTATATTTTATACACTTGTGTTGTGTGATTTATATTTCAACATGTGTGAGTTGTGTTTATAGACAATTTTAGGAATTACATTTGATAGTATATGAAGTTACATCTTCTTATGCGCGAGTTACATCTGTTTATACATGAGTTACATCTTAATGTACGCAAGTTACACCATGAAATAAACCGTGCTAATGATAAAAAATGTTTTTTAACTATATTATTTTTTATAACCCTAATAATAAAAAAACATATTCACCATTTACAAAAAGTAATTGGGCAATTATGATCAATTTTTAATTGTTTACATTGAAATGAATGTTGATAATATACACAAACATTTTTTTTTCTTTTCTTATATGTATGTATGTATATATAAGATGTTTACATTTTAACTTTTCCAGAATTACATTTTAATGTACGCGAGTTACATCTTAATGTATGCGAGTTACATCACTGAATAAATCATGCTAATGATCAAAAAAATATTTTTAACTAAATCATTTTTTTTAGCCTTTATATTAAAAGTTCAAAATATATTCACTATTTATAAAAAGTAATTGGGCAATTAGGATCAATTTTTCATTGTTTACATTGAAATCAATGTTTTTTCCCTCTACGTTCCGTTATAGAAAATTACATATCAACTTGACTCAAGTTACATTTCCTATCAACGTGAGTTACATTTTAGTAAACGGGAGTTACATCACCCTGCTACTGAAACGTAAATAAAAGTTATTGTTCATCCGCGGGTACTGTTCATCCGTGTTTTGTCCCTGGTATAATATTGATTTTATGGTTGATTAATGGGGCGGCTCTCACTAATCTGTTTACTATATTTCGGTACAAAAGTGACCATTTTACTTTATTTGTACATAAAAGTGACCCACAGGTTCCATTCCTCCTTAAGTAATGATAACATTGACAAAAAAACTCTAAATTACAATATCTGGCTTTTCTTTCGTTGAAACTTGATCCCTTCATCAGTTCCTCGTACCTAGGGGTGGACCCGGCCGGCGGTCCTGGACCAATCCGGAACTGGGCCCGATATAGTGTGGGACTAGATTAGGTTCGGAAAACTGGTCACGGTACGTCCCGAGTTCCGATATTTGGGACTGAACTGAGCGATTCCAGTCCTGGTTTTGGTCTTGGACTGGCTTTTTTTATAGCTTGAAACCGATTAAATAAATATAACAGGTCCGAGACCGGATCGCCTGAGTTTCCGGAGCTGGCCTAGACCTGGAATATAGCAGTTCATGCCCGGTCATCTTCAAATAAATTTTAGGACCGGGCAGTCTCAGCCCTGCAGCGGGACTGGAGCATGACCACCCATACTTGTACCATTGGTAGCCTCAATGACCACTCATAGTTGCACACTTGCACATAGGGGTGGGAAAAACCGAACCGAAACCCGGAAACCGACCCTAACCCGGACCGAATTATGATCTCGGCCCGGGTTTTTTCTTTTTAACCGGCCCGAATAAAAAAACCCGGATCGAACCCGAAATTTCGGGCTCATTAACGGGCCCTAAAATCTATAACCCGGCCCGGACCGATGAAAACCCGAAACAATTAACTTTGATATAAAATCAATATAATATACCAATATAATATATTAATTAATTCCTAATATATTATTATAATCATGAGTGGATGAAAAAATGATTTAGTAAGTTTTAGTGACTACAAATATGTTCAATTTATTTACCGTAATGACCATGAAAATATATTTATAGTAACTTTAGTCACATTTTTATCAATAATTTTATTTTGTAACATTTTTAGAAAATCTATATTATTTATTTATATGCATCTTAAACCAAATATTATGATAATTGTCTTCTTTAAATTTGAATTCTTGGTGATTTTGGAGACTATTATTTGTGTTATTATTTGCGGTTTGTACTTTTGATTAATTTTATTTAAACACAGGTTTTAAAATATAAAATGAAAATGAGACGATTTCACATCCGGGCTTTAACCGGCCCAACCCGAACCCGGGCTACAAAAAACCCGACTCGGACCGAATATAGTGGGCTTTGTTCCGGTCCCTGATTTTCATGACCTGAGACCTTACGGGTAATTTCCGGGTTTAGCTAAAACCCGACCCGGACCGATCGCACCCCCTACTTGCACATTTGCAATGACCTAATTCTTCAATACATTCACCAAATCCTTGTTGGGATTTCCTTTCATTCTCAATGAATAGTGCCAACATAGACCAAGAATTGTCACTACCTGCTCACTTTTGGACACCAATTCAGAATAAAAAAAATTGACACAATGATTTTTGTATAACCTAACATTGATTTAGATTTACCAAATAAATAAGCTAATAAAGATCCTATAAAAGCATTAGGGAGTTTTGTTGGTGATGGTATATTTGGGGAAAGAAACCAGTGACCTCGTATGTTTGGTTGAAGGTAGGTCTGTCAACGGGTCGGATACGAGCCGGAACTATAAATTTCATATCCATATCCGTTGATTTTTTTTTGTCCAGATCCGAACCCATTTACCCTTCGGGTTCTAAACATATGTTCCAAATTTGAATCCGACGGGTCTCGGATCCGGGCCGGGTATACCCGCAAAAAATAAATAAATAAATGACATATGCAAACAAATATAATACGAAGTATAGAACAAAAAAATGTTTATGTTGGAAGAGATCTTATATAAATAAGAAAAATGTTGTTCTATCTATAACTCTGTATGAACTATAAAATAATATACGGAGTATGTTATATGTATATTAGTGAAGTTATAGAGAACCTAGAGTAGTAACTCATTAGCGAAAATCTCATTATAGTGGGCCAACCACTAACTAAGCCTACAAATATTAAAACATTTTTTATATTTGATTATTTTCCTTATTTTATGTTTAAATATTTCTATGTATATTGTGTGTA